AAATTTATTAGGATCATCAACATTACCAACAACAAATAATGATCAAATTATTGGTGCATATAAATTATTGAATAATTTATTATTATTAGAATCTAATCATTCAGAGCCTTCTCATCATCCACAACAACAACAACAACAAGTAAATGATAGTACTAGTACTTTTATTACTAATAATAGTAATTTACATAATTATGATCTTCCTTCTAATATGAATAAATCAGAATCTCAAGATTCAAAACATCAATTAACTAGTAATACTAACAATAATAATAAGAAAAGAAAGAATGATCACATTCAAACTAGTAATTCTAATAATAATTCTAATAGTAATGTTAATAATAATTCTAATAGTAATGGTAATAATTCTAATAATTCTAATTCTAATTCTAATTATAATAATGGTAATAATACTAATAATGGTAACATGTCATTTATAGATGAAACTAATAATGTAACATTAAAAGCTAAAGTGAATCAACGAAATAATAATTTAAATATTAAACAATCAAGATTGAGAAAACCATTACAAAATGATAAATTATTAAAAAATTATTTTGAATTTGATAAACAACAACAATCAAATGATTTAATTAAATTTAAATTAATTGATACTACTATTAATAATATAAATGGTAATATTAAAGATAATTATGTAAATACATTTAATAATAGAATTGGGTGTAGAAAACCATCTATTGATCAAATTATTACAAGTGAAAAAGTTACATTTAATAATATTATAAATAATAATTTAATTAATAATATTGTAGTATATGATAATAATGATCAACAAGATAATTATTCATTACCTAAAGAAGAAGAAGAAGCAGATAATTTATTAAATATTGAAGATGAATCAATTTTCAATAATATTGAATTAAATAATGAAAGTGATGGTAATAGTTTTATCAGTTCATTTTCATTTCTATTTAAAGAATAATAAATTTATATTTAAACTTATTATAATCACCAAGGGATTCTATCAAATTTGTTAATAATCGTTTTACGCTAATGATTAGCAAGTAATATTGAGCCTACATGTTGAGATTCATATGTGAGAATCCCTCAAGAATTTGGAATCCATGGAGAGAGCATGAACTTTGGTTCCTTAATTTAAACATTAAGAAGGAGTGCCAACAGTGGTTGGTGACATGAAAGTCAAAACGACTGATTTATTCACAATCACAGTTCTGACATGTAATTGCTGAATTGTGTTTTAGAGATTATGTTTTTATTTTCATGCCATGTTCGCACAATACAGCAATAGTACTATCGTCCGAATTCGTCATGAAATCTGGAATTGTCAATTATTTCTTTCTATTGTAGTGTATTGCTTCCGAGTTTCGTTCAATACAATTCAATACAAGGAAAGTATTATTGGAAATATGAGAGTGGATGAAATAGAGGATGCAAGTTTCTTTTGCTTGATGCTCAGTTGAATATTCACAAAAAAACAACATTATGATGAATAATAACTCGACTTCAAGTTGGATAAATGAATTTTCCTCTACTGCTCATACCTGTTCAGTTGATGTTTTTTGTGGAATGGTCTCTCCATCATTCTCCAACAACAAGCCTTCAATAACAATGAACAATACAATTACAGATGATGAATGTATTGAACCAAGTCTAAATCTTGATGTTATTGATTTTATTCAGAGTTGGGAATTATTAAAGATGATGACAACTCCAAAGCAACAATTATTTAATAGAAAGCCTTTTGACAAGCCTTCTATTCACCAAATGTCAGCCTTCAATAATATCCAATGTACTAAAATCACCTCAACTGTTATGAATTCTATTGATGCTGATATTAAGTGCACTCCATCACACTCATCCACATGCCATATTGTATTACCATCACCAACTGAGACATTATCTCTACTGACACTTAACACCTCACCTCCTCATCAGCAACCCTTCAATGCTAATACTATTGAAAATAGCCTGACCAATACCATTTCTAATACTGACATTGCTGATAAGGTACTTTTAACCAATTTAGAATCATATCAATTTCCCAAGAATCCTTATCATGAACATTATGATCAATCACCACCACCATCAAATGATATATCCATGATGCCACTCCAACAACAAACTAATGTAAACAATACATTCAACAAGAAGGATGATAATCGTATTCTAAAGAGAAAGAGAAAGATTTCTAATGTATCTTCATTCGAATCAGAAAAGAGAAAAACCTCAATTTCATCCACCACACCACCTACAACATGTTCAAGTAATTCATCCTCAATTGGTAATAATAGTTCATTATCAACAAATGTGCACTCACAACAATCATTCAATAATTGTATTATAATTTCAAATCCAAAACATTTGAAAAGAAGAAGAAAATATCAAAAGAGAAAGAATTCAGCCAATACAAATCCTGCTCAAACTCAAATGGAATTTCACTTTCCAGTTTGGACTTTTCATTTAGAATAAATTGTTTTTTTAATAATATTTGTTTTATATTCTCTGTGTGTCCGAATAATTTAATATTCAACAAGATAATTATTCATTACCACTTGAAGAAGCAGATAATTTATTAAATATTGAAGATGAACCAATTTTCAATTTTATTGAATTAAATAATGAAAGTGAAAATAAACTTCTGTAAAGAATATACAATTTATGATCAAGTAATAGTGAGATTGTATAATTTCGAAATACGATGAACCAGAATTTACCCTAACACTTACTGACATTCTATTAAGAAGGAGTGCCACAGCTGACGACATGAAAGAACTGTAATTGTTTAAGAGATTTTATTCGCACTGTACAACAATAGAACTATCGTCCGAATTAGTCATGAAATCTAGGAATTGTAGATTATTTCTTTCTATTGTTGGGTATTGCTTCAGGATTTTGTATTTTTAAGGACCTCAATTACTAACATTATTCTTCAAGTACATCAAGTATTGGAAATATGAGAGAATAAATTGGGCGAGATGCAATTCTCTTTGGAGTTTATGCAGAAGAAATATTCAATGAATATTCTCAAAAAAACAAACATTATGATGAGCAATAACTTGACTTCAAGTTGGATAAATGAATATTCCTCTCCTGCTCATACCTGTACAGTTGATGTTCTTTGTGGAATGGTCACTCAATTTTCATCATCATTCTCAAACTACTCAATTAACAATCAATGTATTGAACCAAGTCTAAATCTTGATGTTATTGAGTTTATGCAGAGTTGGGAATTATTAAAGATGATGACAACTCCAAAGCAACAATTATTTAATAGACAGCCTGTTGACAAGCCTTCTATTCAACAAATGTCAGCCTTCAATAATATCCAATGTACTAACATCAGCTCAACAGTTATGA